AGAATGCTTGGTCACGATGGAGGTCACGGCGTGACCTTCATCGTGACTAGGCCTAAGCCTCGCAGGTATCTGCTGGTCACGGTCAACGTCACACCGTGACCAGCATCTTTGCACAGTTTCTCTGGTTTCTAGACCATTTTCCACATTGTAAACGTCCGAACTAGCCTTTGTGATTTTCATGAAAGTTGTACTCTCTGAGTTTCCTTTCTAATGCCACTTGAATCACGCTATTTGGACACTCCTAGCTCGATATATGCTCAAATTACCGAGACTTCGCCTGACAGAAAAAATTACAGAGCAGAATGGTGTCACACTGGCAATCACGACGTGATTACTAGCGTGACCCATGTTTTTCACTTCAAAATGCATATTTCTTCATCTCCTTTGTTCCTTTGGGTCCCCGGGTCATGTCATGATACTTCCACTCTCTTTATTTCATTTTCTTGACCTCTAATGACTCCCGGAACTTGCCTTTCTGTCAAGATGACTTCAAAACACAACCAATTGAGCTCCAATTTACATGAAGTTACAACCAATGCCTCCAAATAACCTAAATGACACAAAGGAATCAAATATGCACATACTTAGCTTCCAATTAACATGAAATCATATGAGTTTGATATCAATTATGCACATAAAAGTACTAAGAATTAGCACTTATCAATGCCATAACCAAGCATATTGATGTAGGGTTTCATAAGATTAGAGAGTTGGTTGCTTCTGGTGTGATTTTGTTGCAGAAATGTCATATAAGTGAGAATGCATCAGGACATGTTGACAAAGGCAGTTACTAGTGACAGGTTTAAACATTGTTTGGACTTGTTGGGTATCTCCCGTCGTTAGATGAGCATGATTGTCCTGACCCTTGGGTATATGTGAGGTATGTCTTTTCTCCTAAAGGGCATATTCGCCAAGGTAGAGATTTGTTGAGTTTGTCTCATATAAGGAATAAGAGTAGAACATATTGGGTCGGGAGCATAATACAAGGGTAGATGCCTATAAATATATTGATTGTATCTCTAGGTGTTGTATCACCATCACAATTAAATAATTAATAAAAGAATATTTTTATCCCCTGGAACTAGGGACATTGCCGAACCATGTAAATGTTGTTTTCTTTACTTTCTGCAATTATTATTATTGATTGTTCTTATAAATCTCAACAAAGTCTTAATGGAAGTGGTGAACATTCACAGGAAAGGATTTCATGTGTTCTCCAATCCTCAATTGCTATGTTGATGTTAGAGACGTCGCAAATACACATATCGAAGCATTTGAGATACCTTATGCTAGTGGAAGGTATTGTTTGGTTGGGGAAACTATGCACTCTTCTCAGGTTTTAAAGATTGTTGGCCAGCTTTATCCCTCTCTTACCATTCCTGAGAAGTAAGATTCAAATAAGGAGTTTGCTTTTTTTGAACTGAATATACATATTGCCTTTCAAGTGTAGATTGCTTTATATTAAAGTTTATTTTCTTTTGGTGGCAGATATAAAGAAGACCTACCTATAGTGCCAATATTTAAGGTATCCCAGGAAAAGGTGAAACGCTTGGGTATCAACTTTACTTCGTTAGAAGTGAGTCTTAAGGATACTATTGAAAGTTTAAAGGAGAAGAACTTCTTAAGCTTCTAGATTTTTTAATTATTATTGTTCCATGTTTATGCTTGTTGATCTCTACAGTGCACTCATAAACAATTGTGACTAAACGCTAAACATGTTTTAACATAATTTCATTTGCTTACTTGTTGTGACTTGAATTTGAGTTAACTTTATGATGGGATAATTGGGTACCCAACCCGAAAGAACCGACATGACGGATTCAGGACCAAGTAACGGTCTTTTACTCAAAAGAGACCGTATTTATTACGAGGCACCGCTATATTAAAGGATGTCTCTTCAAACTCTTTCACCTTGAGCTCATACTAGTTTTTCTGTATGCGTAGTTGTCACCTGTTAACTCTGGGGTCTATGTTTATTAATCCTGAAACACTCAACACACGATGAGAACAAACACGAAGATAATAAAAAGTAACCCAGCACACACATGAGTCGAATTCTTGAGTTCAAGAAGCACGATGCAGCTAGATCGATGGACTAATAATTTAAGTCCCTGTGCTTTGATACCAATTGAAAAATGATCGTGAGTCTTGAATGCAAGAAGTACCTAGTTGATTTCTACTTAATTTTAATTATATTCAATTACTTATCCTGGATTATAGATTGTATCATACACAGTGAAAGATAGCAAGATAAAAGATAAGTAAAGAAAAGGAACCAAGAACACAACATTTGGTAACGCAGTTCGGAGCACAATCTCCTACGTCTGCGGGGCAACTTACATCAGCCCAATTTACTATATGATCACCGAAGATTACAAGGGTTGGTAAGACATATCCATAGACACTATGACCTTAGCCAATTACACCAACTCAATCTTAACCATCTACTTGAGTGGGTACGTGCAAGCCAAATGAACTCTTCAAGCTTCAACACAACATGACCACTATACGTGACAACCTTGTAGGCCTCTTAGATCACTTCAAAGATGATATATAATAAGTTGTAAAGATTAGAGAACTATCCAACGTTTAGAGTGCTTGTTCGTTGTCTTCATGAATTCTAAATGCCTCCTTTTAGTCGAAATATGACAACCAACTAGTCTGAATAATTGCTACTTAAATTCCTCAAAACAAGGTGCTCCATTCAATTCAAATTAATGCCTGAAAACTGGTTTTAATTACAAGAAAAATGTTAGAGAAATTTGCCCCTTCTTAGAATACGTCCTGACTTAGGCACTACAATATCTTCTGAAGTAGATCCAGACTATAAGACAGTAGCTTCTGAATTAGACCCAGGCTGTAATACAGAATCTAATACACTCTACTATAAAACATGTATCATTTGTATACTTACATGAAAGTTTAGTCATATTCCAATCAGTAGTAACTAGATAAGATGACTTAATTACACTTTTATCTAGTTAAAGGGTCTGGTTAGAATTTTTTTTTTTTTTTTTTTGGTTTTTGGTTTTTTTAGTTAGATGATTCAATTGCATTATTTTAGGCATGGCAACAGGGCGGGGGTGGGAAATGGAGTCCCCGTCCCCGAAATTTCTCATCATTCCCCGATCCCGCCACATTCCCCGGCGAGGAAGGGGAATTATTCCCCAACTTTGTTCCCGCGGGGATTTTTTCAGAACAGGGAATCCCTGCCCCGTTTTTTGAATTATGGCAATGAAAAACAGAGGCTAATAGCAATACTGTTATTAATATTTCCCTGGAATTTTCATGTCTCGTCTATTGCGTTAATGTTTAAAATCGATACATACAAATAGAACTGCTTCCAAAATCCAATCTATTACAGCAACACCAGCAACAGATTCTCACATATTCATGAATTTCAAATTAATATTGACTTCTAGGAATGCTAAGCAACGAAACAATCAAACAAATTAAACTAAGTGTGTGTAAATTGTAAAGACTAATAAAACTAATTAAACTGGGTGTGTGTGTAAACTGTAAAGACTAAAGAAGTAAAGAGAGAGTAGTGGACTGGAGTGTGGACCTAGGCAGACGAGATGACGAGGACGGCGAGGCAGAGCAGAGAGATAGAGAGACAAAGAGGCAGAGCAGCGGCAGTGAGGACGGCGAGGCAGCGACGAGCCGAGACTGCACTCCAGACTCCAGAGAGACAGCGACTGCCGGCGAGGGAGTGAGCTGAGGACTGAGGGCGAGGGAGTGACTGTGGCGTCGACCGCGTTGCCCGGGTCGGTTGACAATCGTTATATCGTATTATCGTGCACCAGGGCGCACAATGCACCAAAACGACGTCGTTTTTTATGTTCAAATTTTATGTGTATTATGTTAAAAGTTTACGTGTATTCAGTTAAAAGTTTATGTGTATTATGTTAAAAGTTTATGTGTATTATGTTAAGAATTTATGTGTATTCTGTTAAGAGTTTATGTGCATGATGTTATGAGTTTATGTGTATTATGTTCAGAGGTTAGGTGTATTATGTATTATGTTAGATTATGTGTATTCTGTTATGAGTTTTGGTACATTCGAAACAACCGATTATTATTTTTTTTTTTTGAAGTTAATGGTAGAAACGGGAAATGGAATTTCTAAAAAAAAAAAAAAAAAAACATGACTAAAACGACATCGTTTTGATCAGGATGCATAATACATTGTGCGCCCTTGTGCACGATATAATTTACCGTCAACTGGACACTGGATTGCTGGAGAGGAATGCTACGCTAGGGTTAAGAGTTTTAAGTATTAGGATCTTTTGTGGAATGCTCTCCCCGTCCCCGTCCCTGGTGGGGATTGGGAAATTTCTCCATCCCCGCCCCCGTTCTCCGAAAAAATTTCCGAACTTGCCTCATCGGGGCGGGGATTGATTTTTCCCGTCAGGGACGAGTTGAATTGTCATCCCTACATTATTTAATCAACTTGTGAAGCTTACAAAACTCTTTTTCTAATTTTCTAAAATAATAGAGTAGTTAAAAATCAAAATAATTGCAATAGTTGAAATTACAATCAATAAATCACAACTACTAAATTTGAGATAAATAATTGGTAAGATCATATCCAAGAGGCATCATTTTTAATTGGAATCAGTCAACATCTCCAAAATACGAGGATATATTAAATTTATTTGGAGCAATAAGCCGTATTTGAGAGAAGATACAAGGTTTGGATCTCGACAGGTAATGTGAGATTATGCCCAAAGTAGACACATCCTTTGTGCACATCGACATTTCGCCTGTCTAGTAAGCCATTTAATCACCGTTATTTACTCTCAAGCGCTCTATCGGGTCGGGGTGTGGGGCCATAGGGTTGTAAATTCAACATTTTTTTGGAGAAGATGATATATTAAATTTCATTTATGACAATTTAATGATTTATATCGTTATCACGTTATGTGCTGTCACGGTCGTATATGAATATAAATATAAAGAAAAGAAGAAACAAACATAATATACCACCTCTACTTGTTTCTACCTTGGAGGTTTCAAACTAAGTTTACAGATCTAGCTAACTAGGGAATTTAATCTGAAAAAGAGGATGAGCGGAGAGGGAAAGGTGGTTTGCGTCACCGGTGCTTCCGGCTTCATAGCTTCTTGGCTCGTCAAGCTTTTGCTCCGCCGTGGTTACACTGTCCACGCCACCGTACGCAGCCTCAGTCAGTCCCCTCTCTCTTTCTCTTTCATATATTATTACACTCTCATATATGTGCTTGGCCCTGCTGTTTTCAGTTCATTTTTGAGTTCCCATTTCTACTCCCAAAAGGCGGCCAGATGTCGATGCGCACAAGGATCTGTCCATTTTGGGTTTAATCCCGGTCACTGTCGAGTTTAAATCTTAGTATCTTCTTTCAAATTTGATCTACTGAACCATTGAGCTAAACCCGTGCGGGCTTGAATTGCAGAGGATCCAAATAAGGTGGCACATCTTCTTGCTTTAGATGGTGCCAAGGAAAGACTGCATTTGTTTGAAGCCGACTTACTTGAAGAAAACTCTTTTGATCCTGCAATTAATGGGTGTGATGGTGTTTTCCACACAGCATCACCTGTTTCCTTTTCACCATCTGCAACTAAGGTTAACCTTTTCGTTTTAATAATGTTAATACCCCTGGTTTTTTTTTTTTTTTTTTTTTTTTTTAAACCTTAAATCATAATCCCGTGTTTATATATAATTTAGGAAGAACTAGTGGATCCTGCAGTAAAGGGGACACTAAATGCTCTTGGATCATGTGCGAGAACACCTTCTGTAAAAAGGGTAGTGGTGACGTCCTCAACGGCTTCTGTTCTGTGCAAACGAAATCCCATAAAGGCAACTGATATAGTCGATGAGACTTGGTATTCAGATAAAGATTTTACAGAGGAAATAAAGGTGTTTTTGTGTGTGTGTGTTTATATTAGTCCAACAGCAATAGAACATATTTCTCTTTAGAGCTTTTATTGTAAATCTATTTATGATTAGATTAACACTATTATTGTTGAGTTGTATCCCTTATAACCTGATTACAAACAAAACATTTTGTGCTAGTTTAGTTATCTGAGAAGTTTTTGTTTGGCCTTTATAGCAATGGTATGTCCTGTCTAAAATCCTTGCCGAGGAAGAAGCATGGAAATATGCAAGGGAGAATGGGATTGACATGGTTTCATTGCATCCTTGTCTTGTTATTGGCCCTATTCTACAACCAACTCTTAATTTTTCAACCAATGTGATTCTAGACCTCATAAAAGAGGGTAAGATCTCTTCAAGAAATTAGCATTATATTATCAATCAATATACATTTGTATCAATGGAAATTATGAATGTTTACAGAAAAGGATTTCTTTTCTGGAGCGGGTGGTAGTTATGTTGATGTTAGAGATGTGGCAAATGCACATATCCAAGCATTTGAGGTACCTTCTGCAAGTGGAAGATACTGTTTGGTTGGTGAAACAATATACTGTTCTCAGATTTTGAAGATTGTAGGCCAGCTTTACCCTTCTCTTCCCATTCCTAACAAGTAAGATTCAAATTAGATTTTTTTTTTTTTTTTTTTTTTCCTGAATTGAATCCACTTTTAGCAACGAATTGATCCTTTAAAAAAATTGGTAACAGATATAAAGGAGACATGCCTGTAGTGCCAACTTTCAAAGTATCCCAAGAAAAGGCGAAAAGCTTGGGGATCAACTTCACTTCTTTTGAAGTAAGCCTTAAGGATACAATTGAAAGTTTAATGGAGAAAAACTTCCTCAGCTTCTAATTTTTGGATTTCTTAGCTTGTTGCTTTTGTGGCGTTGTTGAATGTTCTGTAATTTTTGAATCTCTGTGATGTACTAATAGTCAAAGAAGACTAAACATCAAACACTTGTCTTATTATGATTTCCCGACCCTTGTTTAAACAAGTGACTTGCTTTTCTGGCCGAAAGATTTCAATTGTGACCTTAGATAACTCCCCCGCAAATTATTATGTAGACCATAACAAAAAGTATATTTTTAATATACTAAAAGTATATTATTCGTGTACTGAATATAAATTATACAAAATAATATATACTTTCAGTATTTAAATAATGTATTTCTTTCCATGAATACAATGCACGTTGAGAGTTAGTTAGAAAACACTCCGCAAATCCTGCTTCCTATTGCGATCTTACGCTCGAATGGCGGTGCCACCGGGGGGCGTCGTGCCCCATCCTCGCACCTTTGCCGATATCCTCACCCACACCTCTGATGCTTCGCTTCTTCGACTAGCGGGTAGATACAAGGGTATGCCCGCAGTCACTTTCTCTGATGATGATGTTCGTCAATTTTCCCACAAATTCCGATTTGCTCTGGTGGGCAAATTCGCGAAAAGCTGTCCGCCAATGGTGGACATTCGCAAGACTTTCGACCAAATCGGATTTGGTGGAGCGTTCTCCCTCGGTTTGATAGATCAACGCCATATTCTAATCAACTTCGACCATGAGAATGACTTTCAACGTTGCTGGCTCCGACGAACCTGGTCGATCAAAGGTGCTCTAATGCGTGTCTTTAAATGGTCTCCAGATTTCAGGCCTAAGATCGAATTGCTAGTTGTACCGGTGTGGATAGCATTCGAAGGCCTGCCGACACACCTCCAGGATAAACGTCTATCTACTCGATCGCCAATTTGATTGGCCCCCCGCTGAAGGTTGATGCCTCCACTCTTACGCACAATAGGCCCTCCCTGGCTCGGGTCTGTGTGGAATTGAATGTCAGCACCCCCCTCACTGAACAGGTTTGGATCAACAATTGCTCCTTTGGTGGCTTTGTGCAGAAAATTTCGTACGAGTTCGTCCCTCCATATTGTTTGGGCTGCCAAAAATTTGGTCATCTGTCACCAGATTGCCAAGCACAGATGGAAGGACGCAAGGATCCCTGGATTGAACCTATGCCCAGTCGCCAACCACAGATTGTTCCACCAAGAAAAAGATGGCGGCTAATCGAACAAGAGACCGCACATCGGAGTGTTGATCCTCCGGCGAACCCTGCCCCTGATCCCCCGGCGATTGCCCTAGAATTCCAACAAGATGATAGAATACAAGACACCGATAACTCTACGCCACAGGTAGCCATCCCAGACGCCAATGCGTTTCTGGGGGATACAGTCATAGATGATCAGAGCCTTCTTCAGCCCTCCCAATCAGATTCGCAACCCGGCCATTTATCATAAGGTGACGAGGCTCATGAATTTCAAGCATACAGTCAATCCCTGCTTGAGTCTTGGAAAGAAGACAGTAAGCGATTTGCCTCTAAGTTAGGTAAATCCCTGCCAGATGATTTCATAACTGTAACCAAGAAAAAGAGGCGGCCTCGCAAGGATTATTCAGCGAATGTCCCTGCTGTCACGACGCGCCTCGCTGCTGGAAAAATCGCCCGCGTTTCCTTCTCCCACCGATTGAAATGAATCTGCTAAGTTGGAACGTCAGGGGCCTGCTCACCTCACGGTGCAGGCTCAAAAAAGTTGTGAGACGTGAGCGCATTCAGTTTGTTTCAATTCTTGAACCGATGGTCTCCCAAGATCGGTTGAATAATTTTGTTCGTGAGCTCAACTTTGACGATGGCTATGCATCCTTGACATCGAAAATTTGGCTGTTTTGGTCTGATTCTTGCGTGGTTGATGTGTTTCTTGACACTGAGCAGTTTCTTCTTTGCAAAGTTCAGTACCTACCTTGGAATTTCTCCTTCAGATTCTGTGCAATCTATGCGAAGCACACTCGTGCGGAAAGGGCACGATTGTGGGAACAACTGGCTTCCTGGTTGGATAGTCCTGATCCGATACTATTAGGTGGTGACTTCAACGTCATCGCTAGCATTTCTGAATACCGGGGTGAGGCTGTGCCGGATATGAATAATATCGCTGACTTTTCAGATTTTATAAATGATAATTCCCTGATTGATCTACCAGTATTAGGGAACCAGTATACCTGGCACGGTGTTCGCAATTTGGGGACAGTGTGGAAACGACTTGATCGCTTCTTGCTGAATGCTTCTATGCGGGACTATTTTACAAACATTACAATTAATATTCTGCCACGAACTACCTCGGATCATGCGCCAATTCTTCTACAAGGGGCGAATGCAGCTCTGTCTGTGCCAAAGCAATTCAGATTCCAGAACATGTGGCTATCAGACTCGGACTTTAACTCTCTTGTTACAGCTAATTGGTCTCTCCCAGCAGCCGGGAGAGGCATGCGAGCTTTGGCTTACAAGCTTAAGCGTCTCAAATCAGCTCTTCGGGTCTGGAACAAGGAATCCTTTGGGAATATTTTTGACCGTGTCAGAGATCTCGAAGCCAGAGTGGCAGAAGCAGAGGTCATCCATGCAAACAGCCCATCAGGTGAAGCAAGATCAGCGCTCCACAATCTTCAAGATGATCTCCTCCTTGCCTTAAAACGTGAAGAATGTTTTTGGAAAAAGAAGGCGCAGGTCAAATGGCTTAAGGAGGGCGATTCAAACACTCACTTTTTTCATGCTGTGGTAAAGGACAGGCATCGCAGGCAAAGGATTTGTGCTATCAAAAGGCAAGATGGCGCTCTAGTAACCTCACAATCTGATATTCAGGCTGAGGCAGTTGCATTCTACTCTAATTTGTTCTCCACTGAGGCCTGTTCAGATTTGGATTCTCTTTTGCAGTGCCTCCCAAGTGACCTCGTCACTTCGGAGACCGGCCCCTGTTAGCGCCGCTGACACAAGACAAGGTTAAAAGCGCAGTTTGGAAATTGGATCCTGACAGTGCGGTAGGTCCTGACGGGTTTTCGGGGTCCTTCTTCCGTCACTGCTGGGATATTGTCAAGGGGGATGTTTATAATGCAGCTATAGATTTTCTTACAGGGGTGCCGCTGCCGAGGGCCATGACAAGTGCTCAAATCGTACTGATTCCCAAAAAGTCCAACCCGGATTCCTTTGCAGACTTTAGACCAATCTGCCTTTGCACGTTCATGAGCAAAGTGTTTACTAGGATCATTACTTCTCGCCTCAGTCCGATTCTCCCGAAGATAATCTCCAGGGAACAAGCGGGGTTTGTGGAAGGCCGGAGCATCCAGGATAATGTTCTTTTAGCCTTCGAGTTGTTGCAATTCTTGAATAAAAGGTGTCGGGGCTCGAATGTCATAATTAAGCTGGACATGATGAAAGCATTTGATCGGGTAGAGTGGCCATGCCTGCGTGCAATTTTAATTAGACTCGGCTTCCCGCTCCCCTTTGTTAACATCATTATGCAGAACCTGGAGGCAACCAGGTTGTCGGTCTTAGTAAATGGGATCAGTTGTGGCTTCTTCCAACCCACAAGAGGGGTCAAACAAGGGGATCCTTTATCTCCACTGCTCTTTATTTTGGTCTCGGAGGCTTTGTCCCGCTCTCTCATTTTGAAGATGGGAACTGGCTTGCTCTCGCCATATTCTTCGTCGGTGGGATGCCCCACGATCACTCATTTAGCTTTCGCCGACGACATCATTATCTTTGCTAATGGGGCGTCGAGATCTTTGAAAGACCTGGTAGAGGTGCTCACGCAATACCAAGCCGGATCAGGTCAGAAGATTAACTTCCGGACAAGCACTGCTCAGACCGCCGGGCTTCTGCTATGGCACGGTTACTCGGCATGCAGAGATCGGTCTTGCCTTTTCGCTACTTGGGTGTAAACTTATTCGTGGGCAGAAATCGCCCGCTGTATTACCAACATTTGCTGGAGAAGGTTGACAGTAAACTCCTCGGCTGGCAGCGAAAGCTTCTATCACCGAGCGACAGGCTGATGCTAATCAAACACCTGCTGGCTATGATTCCCCTATACATAGTGGCTTCAACCATGCTTCCACGCCAAACAGAAAAATCCCTTGAATCCAGGTTTGCTAAATTTTTCTGGGGTACTGTGAATGGGCAGCAAAAGAGACATTGGGCGGCTTGGGACAAGGTCTGTTACCCTACTGAAGAAGGCGGTATGGGTGTCCGGTCGCTCAACACCATACAACACGCTTTCTCAGCAAAGCTGCAATTCAATTTTTTACGAGAGAATTCCTTGTGGACTGATTTCCTTAGGGCCAACTACCCGGATGACAGATTCCGCAGGACTGCTTCGATCACCTGGAGGCGCATGCAACAACAGAAAGATTTTGTGGCGGATAACATGGTGGTGAACTCTACAGGAATTCCAGTTTGGACGCCATCTACTTACGGAGACTTCACGCTCTCTACAGCTTATGACCTCCTTCGCCCGAAGCAAGGTCACACCCTGTCCTCATCTTGCATCTGGGGCGGTGATTTGCCGTCAAAAGTCTCTATATTCATGTGGCGGCTACTTCGACGTTTACTACCTTTTCTGGACATTATCCAAACTTTCGGTTTCTGCCTGCCCTCAATTTTTCCTCTCTACAAGGCCCATTCGTCATATCTAAATCACTGTTTATATGATTTTCACTTGGCTCGGGAGATTTGGATGCATTTTGGGGGTTTTTTTGGCTTGTCTACTGCAGGGTCTATCCGCGCCCAGTGTCATGCTTGGTGGCTATTGGCGCCGGCGGGATCGGCGCTTGACTCCTTTGCTAAATTTGTTCCCTGTATGATTTTATGGTTCTTATGGAGGGCGTACAACAACTGTATTTATGGCGATGCACCTTTCTCGACCGCCGGAACTGTTGCTAAAGTCAAGCGAGAGTTGGTTTTACTCTCTTTGGCACATCCCATTCGCTGCTCAACCACTCTGGATTCTGTTCTTGTAGCTGCTGGATTGGTGGCGCGTTTTGCTGCTCCCCCCAGGATTGTATCTCTGTGGGTGAAGTGGCTCGCGCCGCCAACGGGAAGATTGAAACTCAACACGGATGCCATTTTCATAGGGGGCGGCGTTGCGGGAGGAGCCTGCTTAAGGAACTCGCTTGGCCAACATCTTGTGGGGCTCTGCTTTCGCTTTGAAGC